AAAAAAAGATTTCAGGATTTCCACAATAAGATATCCAAGTTTATTGAGTCAGTTAAAAATACTAATCAATTGCAATTCCAAGAATTTCAGGAAAAAGTTAAAAAAATTGAGGATTTAAAGCAGGATAATCAGAGACTAATGGTTGAATTAAAAGACCCTAATACTACTCCTGAACGAAAAGCCCAAATTCAGGAAATTTTAAAGAAAAACACGCAGCAAATAAAGAATTTGATTAATGAACTAAAAACTCACCCTGCAAGAGGGTTTTTCGACCAGGAGGCTATTAGTTTAATCAATAATGCTAAACAATGGTTAGTAACCGGAAATTACCCAGGGGCTGGTTCGGGATTAGGAGGAAGCAAAGGAAGAGGAAAAACTGGGGGCGGCAGTAGACCCGATGACCCTAACAATCCTAATCAGAACCAAAACCAATCAAATTCAGGGGGAGAAACCTGATTAACCCCCGAAATTAAAAAAATCTGCAAAATAGTTGGAGGCGGAATTTTGTTGTTAACCGGTTTATGACTGATTTACAAATTCCTAATCAACAAACTTAATTCTGAATAATATTATGCTAAAAAAAATTTTAGGAAAAATAATTGGAATTTTTCTGTTAGTGCTAGTTTTTTTAGGAATATTGTTTCTGGGTCTGAATGTTTTCTTTAATTGAAAGAATTATCAATATAATGATGCTAAATTAAGGATATTAAGAAATAAGGATGAATACAAAGAAGCCGAAAGAGAAAATCGCCAAAGCGAATTAGAAAAAAAGCAGATCGAACAAATTGAGCGACAATTAGCCGGATTTCAGCCAAAACCAAAAGACACAGAACCACTAAGTTGGTGCAAGGACGGCTATTTAGGCATAAAAGATATCGACGAAGCCAAAAATACTATAGAAGAGGGAGAAGAAGCAGTTTTAATTTATACCGAAGAACAAAAAAAGCATTTTATCCGTATTTTAGAAGATATTGACGATTTTTTGAATAATGAGGGAAAATTAAATTTAAATGCGGAGGGTGAAAGCGGAAGAAATGACCAATACAAAAATTTCTTATTACGAAACAA